CCGCCACCGGTATGCCGGTGCAGATTTACGGCAACTCTTGTACATATCTGCAGCTTGGTTAGACTCGTGCGGGAAGTTTCTCCGGAGGAACTTTCCTCACACGAACTCCGTAACTATTAATTGCGATATCGGCGATATGAAGGATTTAACAAAGGCTGCCTCTGTCCGTACCACGGTAGCTTTGATGGTACCCTTCTTCCAGCCGCAGTGGTGGCAGAAGTTTGCTCCAGGAACCAGGACCTGGACAAAGGAAAGCTTGAAAAGTGGCTGGCACACAGAGGCGGCGACAGCATGATAGGTATGCAAAAGCAACGGAATTCCGCCCCCCCCTCCAACAACAAAAACACACAAAGTGTGCTTAGGCCTAGACTAGACCATCAAATCCCAACCCAAAGGGATCCTGGCAAAATAAATTCTTCCCCTCCCGATGTTCTGTCAAGCTGCTGTCCCACAGTTCGCGCACTCCTCGGTTTCCTGCAAGGCTCCGGGCTGGCCCGGTTCAGACGAGTTTCAGATCTTTACTCTCGAGCACGAACGAACCTCAGGCCCTTGTCCAGTGGTGCCTTCTTGGAAACCACCTTGCTGGCTTGGCACAGTGGCCCGTTGCATCCACGAACATATGCAGCAGTTCACGTGAAGGGTCCAGGCTTTACTGTAAGATGCCTCTGAGAGTTCAGACTTTTCGTTCAAGGTGTAGTAGAGCCATCATGAATGCTCTACGCCAAAAGTGCGCCCAGACTGTTGTCCTGGCAATGATGTCAGCCCTGCTTCCCCTGCCTACTTCCATGTTTCCACTCCTTGGAAACACTGAGAGTTCTGAAACGTCCCGAACCCCGACAGCCCAGTCCTCCTGCGTGAGTGGCGCGGGGCGCTGCGCCCTCGCGTTTCGGGGTATGTACGGCTTCGCACATCTACATATTTAATATCCAGTCATATCCAGTCAGATGATCTGCCGGCGCGCTTGTCAAATGATCATCAGCTTCGTTACAAAGGCAAAAGCCCATGGCCTGCTTCTCTCAGGAGCAAGCCACGACGTGCGGAAAACAGACCAAACTGGAAACCGTGACGCTGAAATCAGGATACCAAAGGATATCACCAAACCGGCACAATCGCCACGATCCGGTACGATGGATCTTGATCCAAGTTGGTTGATCATCGTTGATTGATATGCTCATCGCAGTCGTGATGATGATGATGATGATGACGGTGGCAAGTGGGTGATGATGAAACTGATTGAGTTCGTAGTTGGAGTGATTTGGCATGCGATGACCATGATACTATAATTAGCATCACTCTTGCTTTGTCATGTCGCTTCGATTGCCAGCGTCAAGGGCGGATTGTTGCTAGTATTAGCATCGCTAGCACTGCCATTCCTCGGTGATTGGCCAAAGGAAAGATTCACAATTGAACCGAGCACAAAGCCATATCCCTCTGAGGGTTAGGCGCTGGCTTGGGCTGGGCGGGCGATGCGGGGTCTATGCCTCAGAGCGACCCAGAGCTTGAGAACCAGGCCATAATCCTAAAGTGATCCCATCGATACTCACAGAATCTCAAAGCAAGAGTGTCATCGTGCAGCTAGCACAAAAACGCCAAATATCAGTATTTTCATGCGGCACCACTTCACACACGCTCGGAGCTTCGTTTGGGATCCTGGCCGGGGTGCAGGGAAAAAGGGGAAAGGGTAGACTTTGGATCGTCTCCGCCATTCCCACCCGTCGTTGCGGCTCCGAACGGTGGGCTCAGCGAATCTTCAAGATGCTGTTATCGTGAATGGTTACCACTGATTGAAGCTTAGCTCCTACCCTACACTTACGGACTATGCAGTCAGCTTCTTCTTCTTCTTCCTCTTCTGTTGTTCTCCAAGCTGTCAGGCCGAGCTCACTAGTCTGTCCCTGCCAAAAATGCCCGGGGCTGGGTGCCTTTAGCCTGCAACAAACAGAGCCAAACAACAGAGTAGTTAGTTACCCAGGAGCCTGAAAAGCAAACATCGGATTCCGGTAGGAGCAGGTGCACCGCGGGAGAATAAAGACCATGAGACTCATGGCGCAAGATTCCATCACCAAGCCAAGTACGCACTCCAACTACGACACCATACAGTAGCAATGCCGGAGTCAACACCATGTAATGACATCAAGCATCGAGGAAGTCAAGAAGAGCAAGCATCCAGTCAAGAACTTGTGCCCTGGTCTCCTAAAGTCTTTTCTTGAGGGGGAAACTGCAATAAGTCTACTGTCCTCTCGTGCTTCTGCTGTATGCCGCAAGCTTTCGATCATCGTCAGATTTATGAGAGGCTGAAGCTGCAGGACTGAGTTCTTCACTGGTAACGCCGTGAAAGTCGAGGTCTGCAACCTCCAGGCGTTTTGTGGCTCTACGACGCTTCAAGAGCAGCCTGGGCAGGGGGTCCTCTTCTGGCAGCATCACGTTGGGTCGTGATCAACTGCTTGAGGCTCGACTGTTTCGGAGGGCTTTCGCTGCAAGAGCGGGTACAAATGTAGTAATGTAGTATAGTCTAATGGTTCGAATGCAGTACAATATGTAATGCAACATAATACGTACAATAAGATCCTGCTCAGACCGGCCTTCTCCTTTCTGCGCTTGGAAAGGCAGGGAAACCTCAGCTTCGAACCAAGGGATGGTGACGCGAACTTCAGATCGGCCACATGATACGGGCACACAGCTTTGAGCAGGCTTGAAATCATGGTGTCCATGAGGAGGCTCAGGTGGCGACTTTTGTTGAGAACCAAGATGTGAGGCTCATCCCCGTGTTCGGAGTTTTGGACTCAGACCCCGGAACCCCCAAAAGCCTGAGGTCGGCGCAGCCGTCGCCATGGACCCATCGCCCGCTGAACCACATCCGGCAGAATGGAACAAGGCCCAAGAAGCACCGAGGGAAGCAAGGAGTGGAGTGGATGAGTCGGGTTGAAGGGTTCGAGGTTCTGGCTTCAGAGTGCGGCTGGTTCAGGGTGGAAGCCCACGGTCAGCTTCAAGTGTTTGACAGGGAAAGCCCGAACAGCGGTCGAGAGCCACGGACGATCGCTGGTGTTCAGCGCTCCCGCAGCAGTGAGGCACGATTCTGCCCCTCTCTGCTCGTGGCACAGGGTTGCGGTGCTGCTTACGCCTGGGCTGCTCGTGGTTGGCTAGAGCTGACATGTATGGGCCCATGGTGCAAAGCCCTGTGCCAGGAGTCCCGACATGAAAGTTCCTACCTTGAAGCTGGGGGCAAAATGCAGCGGCATTCAACGACAACACGGCTTTCAAGCGATGTACGCTCCCAACGCTCTCGATAGCTGAGCTCTCGCAGAGCGCATCCGTCGAAGAAACACAGCAGGCGTGATGCACCCTTTTTCCCAGTGCTTGCGGTCTGCCATTGAAGATGCAAGCCCAACCTACAAATGGCACGAATCCCTGAAGTCATCCCTTCTCCGTGTTTGAGTGGTGTACCCGGTTGAAACACCTGCAACCCGAACTGCTGTCACCGGCGTCTTGGAGCGTGCAAATGACCAAGTATTCCGACCATGGCCGGATGTAGGGTTTTTTGATGTTATGACGAGCGCAGAGCTTTTGCTTCATTCCGTGGTCGCTCGTCGACGTGGTACACGGGGTTCAGCCCTATCTCCTGGCAAGACGAGACGACCATGCAAACACTAATACAAGACTGGCAAGCCAACAGCAAAACCATACGGGGAAGTTGGAGAAGTCACCAGGCATGGTCTGACAAAGGACAGCCGGCAAGACCAAGCTTATCTGATTAGACACGCTAGACTTCGACCTGGCTACGACACGAGGCGGCCATTGAAACCTACCTCGCCTCCAACTTGTGGTACACAGTCACCCAGGGTTCGTGCGTCTTGCAGGGTTTGGGGCTCGCGTAGCGGTTACCTACCTCCGTACATACCTGCCACCTTCCAGGCCACAAGGGTTCAACCAGACAGAGCAGCGAAACGGGCTTGACTTTTCCTCGGCATGTTCAGGGAGAGCAATCCGCAATCCGTGACGAAGAGAACATCAATCAAAGTTCATACTTTTTTGGCTGCTGCCCATACACTGGCCTGGGGAGTCAAGCCTGCTCTTGAGGACGTAGTCCATGGAATGTGGAGATGCCCCAGCAAGGGCTACCCTTCCTCTCCTTGGGTCCTTCCTTCAGAGTGGTTACACTGCGGAGCACGAGGTGCTAGTTCTTCTTACTACCCGCCAATGGCTGGAACACGACACCATCTTCCAGGATGTCGGTGAGGCCCTATGCTTTGAAGTTCCTGACGGTCTCCAAGAACTCGTTCGCGTTGTGCAAAAGAGCTGCGAGGGCCTGGTTCTGAAACATGTCGTCGCCCGTCTGGTGAATGGCCTGCTGGGCGCTGAAGCTCATGCTCAGCAGCTCCTTCTCCAGCCTCTTGAAGTGCACTCGGTCCCCGGCCGCCTTCTCCTTCAAGACGGCGGGAGACAACTCGGAGCAGGGATCGCAGTCCTGGAGCTCGTCTCGAGCTTTCACCTCGCCACCAGCTTCTGCAGGAGGGTAAGTCCTTGACCAGCAGTGCCTGCTACGGCCATCAGCCCAACCGATGTCGCCGATGTTTCCGGCGGGTTATCGATTGCTCAGGGTAAATCTGCGAAGAGGCTGGTGGATTCGGGCCCAACCGCAGAGGTGAGTTGGGTCGCTCTGTGTGTGCCTGGAAGAACAAATTGACAAAAATCTGCAGGTCCGCACCCTGACATCAGAAAAGAGCCTGCATCTTACCCCCCCCCCTTCCCCAAATTCACAAATGCCGGTGCCAAATTCACACCACCAAAGTGAGCCATCCAACAGCGAGGCGAGAAATGGATACCAGCCGAACAAGACCTCCGATATCTGTAGACACTGTAGATATAGCAGTACCAGCTCTCTTAAACGACCCACCTGGCTTCGACCTTCCCGGAACGACAGCGTCATCGCTCAACCTCAACCTCGTGTCACCCTCGAACTACTCAACAAGGAGCCCTGCAACCCCTCCCCCTTGCACAGTGGCCTGCGCTGTGGCCTTGGAGTTTGACACCGGGAGGCAGCTAAGAGAAGCCGATTTGTGGAGAAAGTACTGGTGGTGAAGATCCAAAGTAACCATGGTCGCTTCTAGAGTCTATAAACGCAACGACAGTTTGAGTGTCATCACAGAAAGCGCAGTTGGGGGCGAGGCTCTAGGGACCCACACAAGCATCTAAACGAAGACAGTAAGGTGGTCTTACGACGGCGCGCGGTTTTACTCAGAACCTCTTGGCAGAGCTGCTAGAAGTTTCTTCATGACTCATAAAATGTCGCACCTGGAACTCGATAAGTCTGAGACCCAACTGGCAATAGAATCAATAGAAGTGATCCTAGCACCAAACATTGGGGGCCCACTGGGCCCTGGACCCTGCCAGCACCTGACAGGCTGTACCGGGCTTGATCTCCATCTCCGCCTCAAAACGGGGAGGGAAAGGGCAAGGCAAAGCTTGCCGGCGGACTAGCTTTGCGTCAGCTTGAGTAAGGCTATCGACATGTTTTTCATGAACAAGGCTGAGATGATGGCAAGGTATACATGAATGCACTGTGATATTTACATATGCGTTTGACAACAGAATGAGAGAAGCCCTGTTCAATCCGGACACCTGGGTTGTAGGTGAACACTATCTTTTGCAAGCAAACCACTCCAAAACACACTGGTGGGTTGCATTTGAAGTTGCAACCCTAAGCCCTGCTAAAGCCGGGCGCCATGAACGGACTGTGCGGACATGGACATCGGACGTAATGAAGAATGTAGTTTACACCCAAATTTAAAGATGCAAGAACTGTCTTTGCGGCCTTTGTGATCGCGGACTTTGTGTCCTGCTTTGGCAGCTGTTCATGCGGCTCGGCTTCGATGGCTTCCAAGCTGGATAAGCCTTTACGCTCACAACCTCTGCACAGTGTCTGCTGACGTTTACTCATCCACTGACATAGACCTTGCAGTTACTCTCCAGCCCACTGTCGGTCGCAGCCGTGCTGTTGCTCTGACATACATAGCAACAAAGGCCCGCCAGCAGCTGAGCATGTCCTCCAAGGCGCACAGTGTGCTGCCGGCACTGCCCGTGGGGTAGGGCGCCTGCGCCCATAACACATTTTCGGCGAGTCGGAATACGTCACGGTGCACAAAGCTCGCGGGATAATGAGGTACACTAGTATTTTTGTAGACAGAGTAGAAGATAAATATAAACATAGTGTTTCGAGACGGCATAGGAGTATGTAGCAGTATGCATAACTGCATAACCACGACCCTGTAACGAAAACGTCATGAAACCCGCGGCACGTCGTGCCTGCTCTCCTTGCAGATTCATCTTCACCAGCCGAACTCCCGGCTGAGGCTGGCGGAAACAGCAACAGGGCTTTGATGTCGTGGAGCGAGGTCAGGGGCACAATCGGTAAGTGACCCTTTCTGTTGTGGAGATCGGACCAGTAACTCAGTACCATCCGTGTAAACTGTAAACCCACTTCGCAGCTTCGTGAGATGACAAGCATCGCGCTTCACATCCTTAAGACCGGGAGAATCTGCAGTCATCTGCCGGCCCACGCCTGCCACATCACCATGCCAGTCCTGGACAAGGGATAGCTATCTGGCGGCTCTGCAGTTCCTTGCCGCCTGTGGCGAGCATGTCTTGCACGCGAGGAGACCCCAAGTAGGCGCCCATTTACTACTTTTTCGGGCATAACTCCTCGGCGGGCCGCCATGGACGCCAGGGCCCGGCGTGGGAAACATCCCGGAGGACCTGACAGTCTGACAGCTACTATTAACAAAGCTCTGTCGCGGCTTTCTTGCTGCTGGTAGCATGGGGCTCAAGCGGCTGACAGTGCACAATGGGCCCCGGACATGTCTGTGTCGCAGGCACAGACAAAACGTCCCCACCCGCTTCTTGCTCCAGCGCTTCGTGATGGCACATGTCATGGACCCATGCTCAACCTCCAGCCCTGAAAAAACGAAGCAAGCAGGCGACAACCGCAATCTCGTGCAACTGGCGCAGGGTCGCAACGATCTTCGGCAGTGCCCAGCATGCCCAGCACTTTTTGCAGCTGCATCCAAAACCGACATCCAAGATTTGTACCGCACATAACCATCGCACTGCCTGAGTGAAAAAATCATCTTCAGGGGCTTGTGCTTGCCACTGTCGAGGTGTCAAGTTCCATTGATGTGACCTACCTGCGAGAAGGCGTATGTCTGTCGAGTAGACTTCATGGTGCAAGCTCTTGTCAGAGGATGCTGTGCTAGGTATCTTCGAGCTGCTGAATCTGTTCTGGCGCCCATCGCCCCTTAAGTAGTGGGGAAAGGTTGCTGCCACCGCCCTCTCGTCACTTCGGGACCGGGTTCGTCTTGTAGCCACTCTGGCCATATGCCTCAGTAGCACAACCCAGAAGTTCGGTGCTTAGCCTGTGCGACTCCAGGTCCGAAAAGTCTGAGCAGTGTTGCTAAAAGACAGAGAATGGAAAGATTAGGGTAGATCGACCCGAAACCGATGCTTGGTAAAACAACGCTTAAGTTGGAACATCCCAGAGCTTATAGGCTTCGACCACGCCGAGAACTGCAAACCGCGCATGAAGATTGACTATACTATACATGTTGCTGAGGTCTTTGTTGTACTGTACGCAACCTCGTGGTTAGCTGATGCGTCATCGCACCGTTTTCAGTCATCCCTGAACCTATGGGTTGAAGTCGCCAAGGACAGATGTACCGAGTGCTCTGCAAGCGCAGCATCCGACGCAGCGTTGGTGTCCCGCAAGGTTCCGTAGTACCTGCAGAACTCCTCACTGCTATTCCGCCCGACAACGTAAGCTCTGAGTTCTGGCAGAGGTGAGCCCGAACCCGGGGGCACATCGTGACGATCTTGAAGCCCACGCCGAACATCACTAAAGGCGCCCACGCCCCCATCTTCCCGGCGCGGTGGGCGTAGAAGTACCTAGCTTCTTAGCTTTTCGCCAGGGACGACGGCACTGCGCAAACTTAGGGGTCTCAGTTGTCGTGGGGTCCTTATCATGAATCAAGGTGCCACTGTTCAGAGTGTCTAACACAAGGGTCCCGCACACTCTGAAACTCCCGATTGCACCGAGGAGACCAACTTGAGTTTACTGCCTCCCTCGAGCGCTGGATGCCCCAAGGTATCTATCATGTCCCTCCTAGGTTCTTGCGGCCGAAAGCCTGGTAAAATGCTGCCGAGATCCGAAACATTCATACACATGAGCGCAATCTTGATGTGATTAGGTTGCCCCTTACGATCCCTTACGCACCTGCCGAACTGGCGGTGGAACGCGTGCCCATACCAATTCTGGAATTTGGCGTGGATCTCGGGGTACGGAAGGTCCTCGCAAGTGGAAGCAAGCTCCTAACAGCAACACTAGGTTCCGAAACGCCTGAGAGCTTCAGAAGTATGTACGAACGAATTAACATGGATACATACATACCTGCATACATACACACATGCATGCATGCATGCATGCATGCATGCATGCATGCATGCATGCAGACAGACAGTCAGTCAGTCAGGCAGGCAGACATGCATACTGAAAATATTTGTACATATATTATATTACACACACGTACATAAACTACACGGAAAAAGCCTGGCTGAGCCATGCTCAAGGCCGAATGGCATAGGGTACTCAGCAGGCGCATCATAGCAGTCGTAGCACGCTACACATCTCACACGCACGAAGACAAATTCTAGTAGATTTTGCGCTCAGTCCTTGTTTGCCCTCCAGATGGAGGTCCAGAACTGGCAGAGGCATCAGAGGCCCAGAACACTGTGGAGGCTTTGAGTTTACGTCTTCGGGCTTGTGGTCGCTTCCTTTCAAGGGGCCCTTTCCGCGGCTTCGGGTGCGCTGCTTGGTTTGGGGCTTCTGCATGTAAGAAGACGATGCTTCGGAATTTCAAAGAACGAGCACAAGACAGGGCGCAGGCACCTTGATGCCTACAGGATGCGGTGCCAAAGACATCGACATCTTCTCGCGAAGCCTGGTGAGGTGTCTTGGCATTTGAGCACGATGTAGCTTCAAGCTGCTGCTGCCAGTTTGCGAGCCCCCACGGTTGTGCATTCTTGAAAGGGTGTCTTGGAGAAACCTTCCTAGCCTTCAGTGGAGAAGACAATTTCAACATATCTCAAGATGTAAGCGTCCAAGGACCCTGTTCAGGAGATGCTGACTCCACTGCTGAGGCATGTTCTTGGGTTTTCCGCTTCGGGTACCTGTCGAGAAACACATTCATGCCAGCAAAGAGACCCGATTCCGGAAGGCCCTGAGGCAAAGCTCGATCCCCACTATGGTTCACTTCGACGCGTTCACCCAGCCTCTGCCGGAACCACAACTGTACTATATGATACTGTATTATACTATATGATACTATATTATACTATATTTTACTATACATTAACACACATTATACTATACACTGTACTATAACCCCCAAAAACACCCATCAAGCCGGCACTCTGAGCCTCGGCCCAGGGAGGGGCAGCACGTTGGCAAGGAGTCAAATGGAGGCTTTCGGAGCCGAGGGCGCGGAGGTCGCAGTGAAAGAGAGACCAACATTACATGAGCGTGAGGCAGGGCTAGCTAGAAGACCTCCCTTTGGCCAACAGCATCGAGCAGCTACACTAATAGCCGCAATCCTCCCCCACCCCTCACCACCGGAAAATGCCGATTCAACTTCTAACACTGGCTCAAGGCTGCAGGGCCGCCCCAACAATCGCAGGACATCGTCTTCGATAGTTCAAGTACCCTGAATCGGACTATGTGTATCAATCCCTCACGGACGATCATGTCCTTTCAAACAGTTGACTATGCTAAACCAGCAACCTGTACGTACATACCCACGTATGTCTACCTGTGTGTATGTGTGTGCGTTCATATACATATATGTATATACACATACACGCGTGTGTAGTTGCAGCATAACATACATACAGTCATGCGGTCAACCCATCCATGTATACATATCATATGCGTGTGTATATACATGCATATAATGCTGCATATACTTGTACAAGTGCATGCACAGCTGATATCGAGCATAAAACGACATGTCACAACGCAGCATCACACAACACAGCATTCTATGATATTCGCGTTATTGCATTACACCATACTAAATGATAGTACAACAAACGATATCATACAGTATCATATTATCGTATATTGTATTTTAGCGCTGCTTTTCATTCAAGCATATTCCACTATAATTACTGTGCTGTACGATACAATAAAATACGACACAATACTCTACTCTACTCTACTCTACTCTACTATACTTTACCATACAATATCAACCTACAGTGTAGTACACCGCATTCGATTATAGCATACTACGGTGACGATTATTGAATTTGCGCTCCTAAACAGATATTTTGTACTACCTCCGTTGGCTTCGGAGCCCATTTTAAATAAGCGGAGCCCCCTCCACCCTACCCTCCCCCACTTCTCCCTCCACCCCGCCACCCTCCACCCCTCCCCCCCCTCCACCCGCACCCCACCCCTCCTCCACACCCCTCCACCCAGAGGGATGGAGGGGTGCAGGGGTGGAGGAGGTGAGGAGGGGTGGAGGAGGGATGAGGGGTGGGAGGTGTGGAGGGGTGGAGCTTATTTTCTTGGTATTCTTCTTAGTATACGAGTTTAAACAACACTTTTATACTACCTCTGTCGCTTCGGGGGCTTGGCCGCCCTCCACTGATTTAAAAAAACATGTACTGTACCAAATTATGTTGCATTATATTATCTTGTACTTATTATATTATGACAACTCAATACAAGAATGTGTACTACATTATATCTGTATCATATTATATCTTCCTGCACTCACAGACTTGCTGCATGCAGCTTACATACACGGACAGATCAATCTTGAACAGTTTTGACAGATGTGAGATCGGGTCAGGACCTCAAATGCCTTTAGCATTCCCAAGAGCTTGCACCATGAAACTCCTGCTGCTTTTGATGCAGACGGCAACTCGAAGCGGCTTTCTGGCCTTGGATGCCTTCTTAGCATCCAGCCGCGACCCGGCGCGGAAGCGTCCGATTAGACGCACTGACCCTCAGCTTTGGGGCAGCGCGGGCTTTGGGTTGCCCAGGTGCAGCTTTCTTAACGGAAGCCCTCAAACGCCGGGCATGAACTACCATCACGGCCAAACGGCCGAAATCCACTGGCGCCGAGATGCGCTTCTGCTCAAGTGCAGGGCCTGCTGATCAACATGTTGCTAGTAGCTGTTGGCTTCAACCCAGATGCAGGCAACAGGCAGACAACCTTTTTTGGCTCTTGTTTGATGAGCCTAGAAAGCTATGTCCGATCCTAGTTGCATGCAAGTGCCCTAAGCACTAAACCCTAAACTCTAAACCCTGAACCCTAAATCCGTTTTGGTCAGCTCTAAACTGATTCTGGATCTTCGGCCTCAGGCCACTGGGACTGCGACGGGCGCGCGCTCGTCGCGCGGGCTTCGGGCTGATTCCAGAGGAGCTGGCAAGTTAGGGCACGCAAGGTTGCCGAGCTCCACCTGCGATAACATTATGACTAGTGTTATTATTGTTAATTTCGTTAATTGCTATTGATATTACTACTGTTATTGTTAGTATTATTATGATTAATATCATGATTATTGTTATTTTCATTCACAGGAGTTCAGAGTTTCCTTTAGAGAGCAGAGTGCACTGAGCCAAGTCTATGTCTATGTCTGGGCTCAGAGAGGCGCTCCTTGGGCCCTGGCACCCGAAGCCCTAGAGCTGGCTATAAGCCCATAGGCTCCATAGTCGTTCCTTTTTGTGGTTTGTATTTGGGCCTACTATGGAGCCTATGGGATGGACCCTGAACTTGCCGACCTTCAGGAGGCTCAGGGTGAAACTTTGAGACAGGAGTTTCCGCCGCCGGGTCGAGGATACCTCGGAAGAGAAGCGGAGTGGGTGTTGTCGCTGCCCGACATATGTAGTGACGGCCTGCCAGGGGTTCGGGTAACTGCACCAACAAACAGCTGCTTGCATTGTCCTCTTGTTCTGCTTCGTGCTATTGTCTGCAGAGTCGTGTGCTGCTACTACTCCTTCCCCTCTTCCCACCACCGCACTGTGAAGACTGTGACGACGAGTACTGGCAGTTGCTAGCACGAGTAGCACTGGCAGTTACTAGCACTGGTAGCACCACTGCAACTGCCACTGGAGGGGTTTCAGCTACTGCAACAGCCAACCACAGTGCCATGACAATTCTCAGACTCATAGATGGTGCATGCATCTGCCCAGCTCCTGCAACGGATGCAGCGGATACCGATGCTGGCTTTTTCAACCTGATGCTCGTCACGCCGAAACAGTGAGCGAAACATCAAGTGGACATGAACTTTACAGGCTTAGCGACCTTAGGTCAGCTCACCAGCTCCGGTCCTTGACGCCCCACGCAAATTCCCGCGGGCACAAGCCAGCCCATGGGAAGGGGCGCCGGGCTGGACTATACGGTGACATCGGGGTCGGAGCTGACATTCGCTGCGCCATTGTCGAGGCTGCCAGCTGTGACAGGCGCCTCGTCAAGATGTTCATAACTCATATACCTGATCATAATTTGCAAAGCTGCCCTAGGCCGAAAATCCTTGCTGTACAGAATAAGGAGGCTGATTCGCAGTCATCACGTCACGACTATAATTTGCGCCGTGACGAGCCCCAAAAGATACTTTACACAAAACAAGCGAAGCGATGCATGCGATCTATCGCCTGACGGACCCCGGACTGGCTGACCTGCTCAGGCGGCTTTCCTCCTTGCTGGCATAGTATGGGCCATGTCGACAAACGATTCCGCCCCTGCACTCCCTGCGCCCATAGTGGTACCACCAGCCACCTCGACAGTAAGAGCCGTAGCGGCACACCAAAAGGTTTGCAACTGCACTCGTGGTGTTGCTGCTGTCCTGCATCATTGTGGTGAAGTTTGATGCAGCGTCGGAGGCGTCGACCTCTGAACCAACGTTCATGATCTCCTTGAAGCCGGACTTGCACACGAGAGCTCCACTGCACTTGCGGACACCATTGATCCACAACCACGTGCCGCGGCAAACAACTCCGAAGCGGCATGAAATCAAGTTGCTGAAGCCATGCGACTCGTTCACAGGATCATACGTGGGCTCCACAGGACTCAGTGCCACCATTGAGCTGTGTTCGCCGTCACCGGCCTCGGCATCTTTGCTGAGCAGTGCGCTGGTCTCAGAGCTGGCATAGTATGGGCCATGTCGACAAACGATTCCGCCCCTGCACTCCCTGCGCCCATAGTGGTACCACCAGCCACCTCGACAGTAAGAGCCGTAGCGGCACACCAAAAGGTTTGCAACTGCACTCGTGGTGTTGGCCCCGTCTTTTATCTCCGAGGCACCATTGCTCCCTCCCCAGCTTGCATTTTGAGTGCCTTCCGTCCGGCACACAAGTGTGCCCTCACACGTGCGCTTGCCATCCCTCAAAATCTCCGTGCCGTGGCAGAGCACGCCATAGCGGCAAGAGATTAGGTTCTGCACGGCCCACGATTCATTTGTCGGGTCGAAAACTGTGGCTGTCCCTTCCGGATCAGCCGCAGATTTGTGCAAGGTCCCACGCAGGCTTTGTCCGTGGACTCCGAGCAATGGGCACAAGGCTGCAAGAACCCACAAGCAGAGCGACATGATCTGAAAAGCACAGAGTGTGTTGCCGGCTCACTTCTACAGGCTGTCGCGGCTGTCACTGCCAAACAGCACCGGAAGGCCACTGGATATACAGTCGCTGATCTGCACAACGGCAAGAGCTGATGCTCCAACTCTCTTGCAACCACACTTCCGCAGACCGTTGCGATCAAGGAGCTGTGGAAACCAGCACCTCGCGAATCAAGAGATACCAAGACACTACACACTTCGCAGGGCTCTACTGTGCAGCATTACAGTTCAGGCTTGACATGCAAGCCCCTATTTCGGACCAAATCTTGCACCAGGAGTTTTAGCTACTAGCCAGTCTATGACCCAACATTGCAACAGCTGGGAAGTGGATGCAGCCGACGGCGTCCAGCACCACGAATCCTCAATCCTGAATCCTATTCAGCTCCTATTCCGCGTAGACCCACCGCACCCACGCGACTTAAGGCTGACCTCCAAGCCCGGCTCATCGAAGCGTCAGCTGTTCGAGCGCCTGACGTCGCGAGCAGAGCTATCTGGGGGGGGGTTGCTGTTTTCTGAATGTCAGGCTTGGGGAGTCTGCGCGCAGGGTTGAGTGCTTGGAATGCAGCATTGACGGGCTCTCATAGGGCTGAGGGGTTCAGGGTCTCGGATTCAATTTCAGTAGTAGAAGTTGAGGGATCAGTGGCAAACTCATGCAAGTGGAATGACAAGGCGCAGAAATAAAGTCCACCGTTCCTATTTGCTTTGCAGTTCTCGCGACGACGACGCCAAGCCAGAGAAGGTTCGAATCTCGGTGTTCCCAATGACAGTGCCAAAGCAGCACTGCAGATACACGTTGGAACTGCAACCATCACAACAATACAAAGAGCACTGGTAGTGGGAATGCATTCAGCGCGAGGGCAAGACTCCAAAACGGGACAGCAAGGATGCCGTGACATGCTGCAACTACACCGGATACAGAGCTTCCAGGGCCTTCTCTCGTAGCCGTCGTAGCCGGGGAAGGCATTGGGACGGCCTTTGGTGCAGAGTCTTGTGAACTCTCTCCTCACGTCGGGCCTGGACTCTGATGCCCGAACCTAACGAGCATGCCCAAGACCGGAAAGCGTTATGTACTGAGCTGGCTTGCAAAGATCCACATTTCGCGGCTTCGAGACCACGACCCACAGAGATCCACAGAGCCGGGTGAACGTGAATACGGGAATGAAACGGCCACGACCCCTGAACGTATCGTCGAAGCGTCGACCCTCTGAAAGGCCGAATTTGCCAATATCCCGTCCAACATCTCCACCCCGGCCCTCTCTACGACTCCAAGCCGCCTTGTGGCCACTGCAAAGGAGTCGGTCGGCATGCCCCTCTTCCTCGGGATCGGGGCAGCGCTGCATTATCACTACCTGTGATTCAGGCCCTGTGCTTCGGGTCCAGCTCGCCCGCTGGCTCTTGGCCATAAGAAGCATAATTTTCTGATGTTCTGCAGGAGTAACAAACAAGATTTACATCAAGATGTCACCGCCTGGCCCATGGCCCGTAGAAGAAAGCCAGAAAGGTCGCAGCTCAGGCTTCAGCGATAGATGGCCGAAAGCATGGCGATGGGGGTCTGAAGCGGCACGGTGCGTGCAAAAACACTTTCCAAGCTTGCGTTGCAAAAGGATGACACGGCAGGGCACAAGTTCGATTCTAGCTCACAGGCAGAATGTTAGAGTATGATCACATGGTGTGGAAGCTGGCCGCTCCACTCTCACTTTCCAGGACAACCATTTGCGCTCACTACTGCTGCTTCGTGCGTGAGAGCCAAGTCTCTGCAGAAAGTGTGTCTGGAATGCCCATAGCCGCATTCACCGAAAATCCCACAAACCCGACAGCCCAAGTTCCTGGATGCAATGGTGGCAGTTGCAGCAGTCCTCGGGCATATCTTCCAGGCCAGGCTTGCTGCCAAACCTGGGTGATGGCATGGCTACCTGATACACCACCAGCACTGAGTCACTACCTGTCCTCCTCAACTGCTACAGCTCCAGCGAGAACCGCAGCTACTGCGATGACGACTCGGACGATGAAGACGACCACGACGCAACAATGACCAGGACGAGGACGCCGACGACAACAGGCCCGCTCTCACGACCACAACCACAGCGATGACGAGGATGACAACTACAGCTAGTGGTGTCATTGCCGCGACTGGCTTGCCACTTCTCTCAGATTAGTCTCTGTTTGATCCTGCTGCTGTGGTGCTTGATACCCGCGTGGACACAGCGTGAAGGTCTTCTCGGGTTTCCGTCCCGTAGCATCTCTCAGCATCTTTCGTGCAGCTGTGGTGCCATCTTGCTGTATGGCAAGCCATTTGTCTGCACATTGATTGCCACTCTGCGGCCGCAGAGATTCCGAAATCTGCTGCCGGGCTACTACGACCATCGGCAAGAGCTCGACATTGTTGTACGCTGAAGTGCGATGCTATCGAACACAAGACCATTGCCTACTCCCTTGAACCCGCTAGACCGACGTGTCGTGGAGCACGGCTGCAAAGTTGTGTGACTTGGCATTAAGGTTCGGAGACTCTTCTCTCAAGGCACCTTCTGTCGCAAGACCGATTTCCTGAGTGCCGTGCTGAGCAGCCGCCTCAACCTGCGCAAGATGCCCAGGAAAGCTGTTAATCAGGACTTTGGGATTCGCAACCCCTCACGCTCTCCCACCCCGCACGTCTTTTGCAGCTCAATGATGAAGCAGGCGGTGAAGAGCCTAGCTTGTCACTGGCCCCTTGGCAGCGACAGAACGACCTCTTTGCTCAGAAGCTCTCGTGGCCATGGCTCGGGCTGGAGGATATCCGGCAAGATGCACGCACCTGCTCACCGAAGTTCCTGCCGAGGTGACGTCAGCGAGGCTCAAGCAAAGACAAGACAGACACGAACATGTGTTTCTACTGTGCACCTTTATAATATACGGTTTCCATCCATATGTGCGGATCCAATGATGTTTGCGTGCACGTATTCTTACGTAGCTCTATGCCGCGTATGCTATACTGTCTGTATATACATATATATACTCGGCCAAGATCGGCTCCTGTGACATTCAACCCCTGAGGCAAAGCACGGCAACCTGCACTAATCTTAAACTGATCGTATCTAGAGACTCTTGTATCTATGAACAATTGAAAACACCAGGTACTCAGGATGCATGCACCAGACACGTGCAAAGAATATGAGCATAGCGGCGATGACGAGGAATAGCCAAGCCAAAACAGATCGCAGTTATCAGGCACAGAGGTTGAGAGAAAGTTTCGATGTGCATTGACTGACCATTCGTTGACGACTTGTTGATTAACACATGTTCGTGATTGCAGCCACGGAGCGACAGCGGATACGAAAATTACATTACGAATACTAGTATTAACATGAATACTCCTACGAACACCAATAAGCATATTCATATTGATATTAGAATGTATAGTGATACCAATGCTAATACATACCTGCATATGCGAATGCATATAAGTATACAAACCGATATATATATATATACACATTTTTTTATTTATTTATATTTATTTATATTTATTTTTATATTTAAATTTAAATCTATATTTAAATACAGGTATATAAACGCATTCATGTACTAGTATATTAGTATTTTCCACCAACGTGCTAATATGCTACTATACTAATGTAGGAATATACTAATATGCTATACTAATATACCAATACTGTAATATACAAATGTACTGGTATATTAATATACTACTATACCAACATATTGAGATACGCACTTATAGACCGTTGGGTTAATATACGAATATAGTCGTGTACACAAATACTAGACACTAATATACTAGTATATTAATGTACGAATGTACAAGTATATTATTATACCAATACAAAATAGCTCATGCAGCAATGTATCAATGTATTAATATACTAGCAGTATACAATTATACTACTATACTTATATATAAACGCATTGATATACTAATCTGTTAACATACGAGTCGATTAGTATACTAACATATGAACACTATTTCCAATACTTATACTAATACTAGTGCTTCTGCGAATATGAAAATGACCGCATTAATGGTATTAATGCGAACACTGACATTGACACTGGCACTAACACTAGCACGAACACTAACAATATTTTCTACTTACTACTATTGATATTGATACTTACATTAAATACTACATACTGATGCTACTGCTAATACTCAACCAATATTCTACTAATATCAACACTACCACAAAGCTAATACTATTGTTAACACTATTAATCAGTTCAAAACTACTGCAAAAACTAATAGTGGTACTAAGATTAGAGGTAAGAACCAGGCTCAGTCAAGACTAAAATTGAGACTAAGACTAAGATGAGGTTTAGGAGCGTTGCATGAACGTGTAGAGACTTCCAAAAAATGCAAACAATTTTAAAAATTCAAAAAATCCTGGAAATTTCAAAATAACTCCCAAAAAGTATAAATCCAAAATATTCAAACATTACAAAATTTCCAAACATATATTGAATTTCAAAAAATCAAAAATTTCAAAGATGTCCAAAATCAAAGTTCCAAAATTTCAATAAAATCCTAGCAATTCCAAATAAATCTAGACCCTATTTGGCAGTCGCTCCTTAACATCACAGGGAGAATTTTGGAAACTTTGGAAATTTTGGAAAGCTAGGGTGAGGAATATTGAATTTAGAAGAGGTGATGGTCACCCATATGTTGACAGATCATGCCTGATTAAAGGGCATGGTCTCTCAACGGTGGGGCGACCATATATATATATAAATACACATATATTTATATTTGTTTATTTATTTATTTATCATATACACACATGCGTGTGTGTGTGTTTATTTGTTTGTGTCTGTCTGTCTACCAATGCATGTATGAGCAGGGTTGTATGTAGCCATATTGTGAATGTATTTCGGGATGCTTAGGAAAACAGGACTGGTAAGTGGTTGTTTGGGGTGTCCGCCGACCATGCCGCACCTCCCTGCATGTACGGATCTATGGTCGTGTCTCCATCTGCCTGTCT